AAGGTAGGTGTGTGTCCCCCCTGTAATATCATTTTATTACCTGTTGATCCTGCCAGTAAATCTTATTTTTCTACTTCTTTTAGCAGGTATCTATCAACGTTTGTGACTGCGTTAGAATGTGTGACCGATAATACGAAATCGCATGCACTCCATACAGCGTACAGACCTTGGATGAAAGGTTGGTGCTTGAAGTGACAACAGGGATGGCGCCAGTCCATAATAGAAGTCACCAGCACTTGATGATGTGTGCAAGAAGTAAAGCACTTTTTATTTAAAGGAGAACTATGAGGTGAGTGCTTTTCACTCACCTTATAGTTCTAGCCGACCTGTGACAATGAGACTGTCACAGGTCGGCTCAGTAGATCGGGAGGTGAGCGAACACATACCGGCATTCACTCACCTCTCGATCCTGTCACGGCTCTCTGCCGTGACAGGGGAGAGGCTGGATTCCCCCCTCCCCGCTCCGATCCTCCAGCACTGACTGGCGGAGCGGACGGGGGAGGGGGCAGGTACAGCGGGCTCTGCCTCTAGATAGGCAGAGCCAGCTGTCAGTCACGCAGCTGGGCGGATCCCGGCACAATTGTCGGGATCCGCTTCAGCTGCGGCGTCTCATTATACCGCGAGCAGCAGCTCGCAGTATACTGCGGCGTCTCAGTATACCGCCAGCTACAGCTGGCGGTATACTGAGCCTTGGGTGACGGGAGGACGCTAGTTTGTGTCCTCCCGTTACCCTAAGGAGAACTATGGGGAAAAGCCTTAACCCCATAGTTCTTCTTTAAATGGTCACATGCGTCAAACAGCCAGCTGTTTGACGCATGTGACGATTTAAAAAAAAAAAGTGCTTTACTTCTTGCACACATCGAGAGCTGGTGACTTCTTTTATAGAATGTGTGACCGGTGACGTGGTCACACATTTTAACATAATCCCGCCCATTTTTTCGACGGTGGAATGTGTGACCGGTCACGTGGTCACACATTTTACCTTAGTCACCCCTTTAAGCGTTACTTAAAGGGGTTGGGACAAAGCAAATAGCACTTGTGGTGAGACTCCATTGTTGAGAAATTGTCACGATCCTCAGGTCCCCCTAACGGTCGTTAGCCAAAACAAAGCCAAATGTTGGCGTCATACTGTAGAATGAAGAGATAATTAAAGTTTCCCCATTCCAAAATCATCAAGTCATTATTATTCATGCAATAGTGCTGAGTCCCCTACTGTGACAGATAAAGTAACTATAACTCGCCTTCTTTTGACTCGCAAGTAACCTCATCTCGGTCATTGGATTTATTTCTTGATTATGCAGATTTATGTATGTGACACCCCATTGTTGCGCTTACAGGATACACCTCTCTTATAAAAGCCACTGAAACAGAATAAACACTGGCTGTGTCAAGGACGCAACCCCACCCCTATTGTGGGAGGGGCAGAGACACCACTTTAGGCCTGGTGATATAAGATGCTGGAGGGACATTGGAAAGTGCCTGGATAAAAATGAAGCTTTCATTTTAAGTTGGCATTTAAAACCCTAACTCCTGCCATTGGGGAAAGGTTGGGGTGAAGAAAGGGGATTTTTACAGAGTTTGCACAGCTGCTACCTAGCTGGAGAGTCAAAAAAGAGCTTAAAGGAACCTCACGTGCACAGGTAGTGTAGTGTTAGAGATAGACTAAAAAAAGGAATGGCATGGGTCCCTTCAAGGTCTGCAGCCATAAAGCCCAACAATGTAGGTCACAAAATTATGGGCACTAAAGGGGTGTAAGCACCTTTACGCTCTTGGCTGTGATTGGCCACAAGTCTGACCGCAGACCTATCACTAGATGTACAATACAGGGCTACAGGAATAAGCGCAGGCAGCATCCTCTGCTTCTGCAAGACGTTTCTGTGACTACACGCCAACTCGATGCTTGCAGGGGCTTATGGGAAAAGAATACAGAGATGGCTCTGCAGCTTTTTCCTCCAGTATTGATGATCCATATGATAATCCTTCATATGGACCGATGTCATCATTTAATCAATCACATGACCTTAACTGCACCATAACCAAAGTGGCCTGCCAATGTTCTCAAGATGATGGCGCAATGGACCTCCCCTAAGGTATAAGCTACACTGTAGCATGCTGCTGCCATTAGCTGCGAACCACGTGATCAATAACGGCGTGGCATAACTTACACCATACCATGCCGGTCTTACCGTCACTTAACAGTCAGTTGCAGTCAGTTGCAGGTCTTCTGCAGACAAATTTAGCGGCACATCAAGAAATGGTCCACATAGCATAGGCCTGTAGGTGCAAAGGGCAAGGAGCCCAGTGTACAGCACTGATGCAGACACTATCACCGTCTATACGTCGGCCCTCATAGGTAAAAATAAAGTCTCTCAGACCACAAAACTCTTTTTGTAGCTACCCTGTACCCTGATATTTTGTTTTTTTCTTATTTACGATTTCCGTAATTTGCCCAGCGGGCTTGGTAGCAAGCTGTAAGAATACAAACTACATACGGTTGGCATAGCAAGGCAGGACAATCGATGTGGTCTGTGCCTTTCAAAGCGATCCCAGTCCTACACCACCACAGGGGACACAAAATGTACAATTCCTAATCTAAAAACGACGCTCTGTCCAGCCCAGGCCGCTCTGGAAAAAGGCTGGCAGATAGCACTACGCTGGTGAGCCGACTCTGAATTTAATCTTTGGAAGAGTAAAGTGCAATCATATCAAACACTGTAAACCGCGGACCAGCTTATGAATAGTCACTGACACTGTGTGCTCTATCTAGAATTCTGTGCTGCTACAAATCGACAAACTCCATTACGTGTTAGTCCCAGCATCTGGGGAAGGGGGGGAGAGGGGGATTGTGAATTGACGCGACCCGGAGTTGCCCCTCGGCCAATCAAAGTTCTGCCTACAGACCGGGCTGTCGCTTGGCCTTTATAAGTGGGTGTCCTCCTCCATGGGGTCGTTCTCTTCTTTGTCCGTCTTGTTGATTAGGGTCTCCCAGCCGTCGGCCTGGTGCGCCGTGCCGCCGTTGATGCTCGCTTTCTTCTCTTGCATCTCCGACTGGCCGTCCATCGCCACGTCTAGGGTGGGATTATCGTGGCAGCCATTCTCCACGAAATGGAGCTCCTTGAGGAGACAATAAAGAGCAACATGGAGTAAAAAAAAGACAACATAGTCTGGAAATTTTGCAGAGAAAAGTAATGCCGGTGATAGGTAAAAAATTCCCATAGCCACCAGTCAGATCATCCTTATCACTTTCCAACCTGTGCTAGAAAACATGTCACCTAATGGTTATATTAGTGCAGCCATACTTCTCAGTGCTTACATGATTTCGATCAGGGCTGCCATTAGAAATCATGGGGCCCCATACAGCCTACATGTCTAGACCCCCGCCCCCCAAACACCGGCCGCTGCCAACACTAC